TAGTAGTAGTAGTAGTAGTAGTAGTAGTAGTAGTAGTAGTAGTAGTAGTAGTAGTAGTAGTAGTAGTAGTAGTAGTAGTAGTAGTAGTAGTAGTAGCAGCAGCAGCAGTAGCAGCAGCAGCAGCAGCAGCAGCAGCAGTAGTAGTAGTAGTAGTAGTAGTAGTAGTAGTAGTAGCAGTAGCAGTAGTAGTAGTAGTAGTAGTAGTAGTAGTAGTAGTGATTTATGTTGTTGCTAGTATTGGTATTAGTAGTAGTGGTGGTATTATTATTAGCCGTACTATGTTTTATGATCGGTATGCTTATTATGATGCTGGTTAGTAGGCGCATCATTAATCGTATTCATAAGATCCGCCTCCGTCGTATTACCATGAACAGTGATAGTACGATGTCTACGTCATGTTAATAGTAGTGAAAATATTCTTCTTGTTAGTATAGCATCAGTATTAGTACTAAAACTCGTACGAGTATGACTATGATTCGTCTTCTTCTTGTTCTAAGTCTTCGCTTTATCACTGTTATTAGTATTGGTAAGTTTCGTATTCCTCCTCCTCCTCCTCTTCCTGCTCGTGTCGGATCCAGCTGTGGAGTGGCTCGGCCTCGCTACTTAATATTTGTCTTTAACTTTAATGCTTCTTGAGATTGTGGGGCGGGTGGGTATGTCGTCCCGCCCCCCTCGATCTCCCAGGCCAGCTCCCCTGGCCTGGGTCTGCTGCACTGGCCCGTCGTTGGGCCCGTGCGTGAGGATAGTTATGGGTCAGCCCACTCGTGTTCTCAATTTGTTATGTGAGAGAGTGTACGTTTCTCTCCTGTTCCCAATCTTTGCTGTCCGTCCCGAATCCTGACTCGGCGCGTCCCCTCATGCGTTCGCGACTCCTCCTCCTCCAACTCCTCATCGTCCTCCTCCTCCTCCTCATCATCGTCATCATCATCATCATCATCAGCAGCAGCATCATCATCAGCAGCATCATCGGCATCAGCATCAGCATCAGCATCAGCATCAGCATCAGCATCGTCATCATCATCAGCATCATCATCATCATCATCATCATCATCATCATCATCATCATCATCATCATCATCATCATCATCATCATTCGCATCCGCCTCCGCCTCCGCCTCCACCTCCGCCTCCGCCGCTGCCGCCGCCGCCGCCTCCACCTCCGCCTCCGCCTTCGCCTCAGCCCCCGCCTCCTCCTCCTCATCATCATCCTCTCCTCTCTTCCCTCCACCTTCTCTCCTCCTCCTCCTCCTCCTCCTCCTCCTCCTTTTCCTCTCTCCTCCTCCTCCCCTCCTCCTCCTCCTCCTCTCCCTCCTCCTCCTCCTCCTCTTCCCTCCATCCTCCTCCTCCTCCTCCTCCTCCCTCCTCCTCCTCCTCCTCCTCCTCCTCCTCCTCCTCATTTTTCTCCTCCTCCTCCTCCTTTTCTCCTCCTCCTCCTCCTCCTCCTCCTCCTCCTCCTCCTCCTCTTCCTCTTCCTCCTCCTCGGCCATGCCTTCTCCTTACCAATGGCTTCTCACTTTCGCACCCCGATGCAAGTTTTTAGGGCGGGCTGGGCGTTTCGCCTGAGACTTTCTCACCATGTATGATTCTGAAGCTGAAAGACTGACAACAGCTTCGCAGATGGAGGGCGGGTCGCTTTCAAAATGTGGCTCTCGCCGTAGCGCCGCGCAAATTCGTATTAAACATGTGCAAGAGCTTCACGGATTGAGGGCGGGTGGTTTTCACAGTGTGGCTCTCGCCTTAACGCCGCGCACATTCGTTTTCAAAATTTGCAAGAGCTTCACGGATTGAGGGCGGGTGGTTTTCACAATGTGGCTCTCGCCTTAGCGCCGCGCACATTCGTTGTCAACATTTGCAAGAGCTTCACAGATTGAGGGCGGGTGGTTTTCACAATGTGGCTCTCGACTGAGCGCCGCGCACAGTCGTCTTCAACATTTACAAGAACTTCACGGATTGAGGGCGGGTGGTTTTCAAAATGTGGCTCACGCCTCAGCGCCGTGCACATTCGTTTTAACCATTTGCAGAAGTTTCACGGGTTCCCACGATCAACGTACCAGAAATAGCGTTTTGGAAAGATTCATGAGTTCGCGGGCACAACAATTATGTTGATTCCCGGTGTTGAAATCCCACAAATGACGTTCGGGCACGATTCCGGTTCGTCAAGACGCAGCAGTCGGGTTGATACGTGGCGTTGAAATGCCGAGAACAATGTTTTGACACGCTTCAGGGTCTTCAAACGGTTGTCTTCCAACGAGGCAGCTCCCTCCATGGAAATGAACCGTTGTAGGGGCCTATGACGTGGGAGCTTGGAGGGAGGGTTGATTCCAACATCGTTGATGACTCTTGGGTCTACACTGGTCCTCCTCCTCCTCCTCCTCCTCCTCCTCCTCCTCCTCCTCCTCCTCCTCCTCCTCCCCCTCCTCCTCCTCCTCTTCCTCCTCCTCCTCCCCCTCCCCCTCCCCCTCCCCCTTCCTCTCCCCGTCCCCCCCCCGCTCCCCCCAGCCTACCGCCACCCAACCCCATCCCAGGGCCCGAAACCTTCCCCCAAAGGCCGTACTCCCACCAGCCCCCTGGGCGGAGGTGGTTTAGAGAGCCCGTTCTGTTCCACCACCTTTTCCACTTCAGGGAAGAGTTGACCACTGTTCCCTATTGATATACACCCCCTCCTCCACCCGGCGGGCGTCCAACCCAGAACCATGCCGACTCCATGAGGGCCCGCACCCCGCCATCCCTGTCAAAAAACAATGCAAACCGCACTCTGCCTCCACATTTGGAGCATGCGCGGACAACCCGATGCGGCCCCCCACCATCCCTGTTAAAAAATGCAAAGTACACTCTGGGGCAAGGTCTCAAATCATGTTCGTGAGGCCCGCGAGCACTTTGTATTGCTGTTGACAGGGACGGCGGGGTGTCGGCATATTCCCTGCTGCGCGCAAGGCTAACATCCCTAACAAAATATAATACAACATGCACCTCGCGGCAAAATCTGGATCATGCGCGGCCATCCCGCGATCACTGTCAAGTGGATTTTGACAGGGACGGCGGGGGTGGTGGCGCGTGGCCTGGTGGGCGCAGGCCCACCAGACACAATGATGGGCATGGGTTGTCGACAAGGATGGCGGGGGCCGGCATGCTTCCCGATGTGTGCTGTCACGTGCGAGGGCGCACCTGACGCACTCTGCACGTGCCCCGAACGTGGCGCACCTGGCGCGGACTCGGAGCACGTGGCGCATCTGGCACACCAGGCGTGCCTGGCACGCTCGGGCCCCAGTGCCTGGCGGGCGTGGCGCCCTTGGCACGCGTGGCGCACCTCGCCCAAGCGTCGCGCACCTGGGGTCGGCTTTGGTTCCCAGTGGCTGCCCATCCAAGGACGACCGCTGAACATGCTCAGGCTCGGGTGCTACTAATGTGTTGTCAGGGCGGGTGGGAGTGAGCTAGACGGCTTGCGGGCGGGTGGGTCGCTTGACCCCTCCCCCTACCCCCTCCCCGTGGGCCTGGAGGGGGGAGGGGGGCGCGGATGGTTGGTGCGTCTGGTTTGGCATAAGATGGTGCCAAGACAGCCCAAGAGAGCTCAAGATGACCTCCAAGATCGCTCAAAATAGCCCTCGATGACTCAGGATAGTTCCTATCAAGCCTACACGAGGCCCCAAGACCACCCCAAGACGGCCCCAAGTGGCCACGGAGCCTCCCAAGGACGCCCCCGAGAGGCCAAAATCCGCCGACCCCTTGGGGTCATCGGCGTGTGAGATGCTTCCCCCTCCCCAAACCCCTCCCCCCCGGGGCCCGGTCCAGTCGGTTTGGAGGGGGGGAGGTCTGGCCGGCCCCGGCTGAACGCGTCACGGGCCTCACGACGGGCCATGAGAGCCCCAAGAGGCCCACAAGATGGTCCAAGAAGGCCCCGAGTCGCCGATGGATCGCTCCAAGACGCCCAAGACGGCCCCCAGACGGCCCAAGAGGCCCCCGAGGCGCCCCAAGAGGCCCCCGCAAGGCGCCCCAAGAGGGCCCCCAGAAGCAAAAATCGCCCCATTCCCTCAGTGGAACATATGACTTAGCACATTCGCCTCTTGGGCTTCCACAACGTCCAAGACGGCCCAAGAGGCCTCCAAGATCGCCCCAAGACGGCCCAGGAAGCCCCCAAGAAGGCTCAAGACGGCCAAAGAGAGCCCCAAGACGGCCCAAGAGGCCCTCAAGACGGACCCGAATGGAAATTTCGAACCCTCGGCCCGAGGCCCCAAGAAGCCCCCAAGAAGCCCCCAAGAGGCTCCAAGAGGTCCACCAGGACCCAGAAGAGGCCCCAAGAGGCTCCAAAACGGCCCCCGAAAGGCTTCAAAAGTGCTGTCAGGACGCCCCCGAGAGATCTACCAGGAGCCCCCCAAAGTGTCGGCGGTGCGGCGTAAGCCCAAGAATCATTCAAAAACATCAGGACAAGCAATGTGTGTTGCCTTCTCGCCTTTTCGCTTTCAATGGGCTCTTGAGGCTTCAAGACGGCCCCAAGATGGCCCAAGAGAGCCCCAAGACAGGCCCCAGAGAGGCCCAAGACGGGCCCAAGAGCGCCCAAGAGCGCCCCAAGAGCGGCCCAAGAGGGCCCCAAGAGGCGACTTGTCGGGTTCCGAACGGGGGGGGGCGTAATTGACGCCGCGCTCCTTCTTGAGCCGTGGCCTCCCAGATGGTCCCAACAGACCTCCTTGACCCCCCCAAAGAGCCCCAAGAGGGCCCCAAGTCCCCCTAATGGAGCACCGAGGTGCCCCAAGAGACACCAAGAGGACCCCAAAAGGGTCTGGAGGCCTGCTCCGCCTCGTCCGCCTCCCACTGCCCCCACAAGAATGTATAACAGATAGTACGTAGGAGGTGGGCGGCAGAGGAGGAGATATGCGCGAGCAGGAGGAGACACGCCCGAAAGTCACGACCGCCGGCGCGCGTCGCCAAAATGTGCTGTCGCCTCCTGCGCGCTCACACCCCAGGCGCCTCCTGCGCCGCGTCCTGTCCCGCCCCGTTGGCCCCTCCCGTGATGAGGACGGGCAGCATGACGGACAGCAGGAGCTCTGGCCGGATGTCCATCCACATCCTGTACGACATGCCCAGGCCTGCGCCGAGGCAACGGGGGAGGAGGGAGGAAGCCGGCGGAGTCCACGAGGTAGGCCTGCACTGGGCTGTCCAGCGCACCATGGTGCATCGAGCCTGGTGCGGGTGCCCCGCCACCTCTGCCTCCGTCTCTGCCTCTACAAGTGTCGCGCTGCCGCGAGGACCGCTGAATGAAGACGGAAGTGCTTCTCTTCTGGTCACGACTAGCCTCGACCACGAAGAGGTTCTACACCCTACATCTAAGGAGCCAGAGCCACTCCTGAGCCCAAAGTGGCCTTTATTTCGGCGTCTCGACTGCACCTCCACCTCCACCACTCATTCACCTTCTCCTTCCTCCTCCTCCACCTCCTCCTCCCCCTCCTCCACCTCCTCCTCCTCCTCCTCCCCGCGTCCTCTTTATCCTCCTTTGTCGTGCTCGCCGTCCCACCCTCACTTCGAAGAGCCTGGCTCCGACGCAGCGTGCAGCAATCGGTGGTCACGGCGAGGACCCACTGCCCCGTCTTTCCACAGGACACCAAAAAGTCAGAAACGGACATGGCTGGGCTCAACTGTGGAACATCCAGAGGCCACATTCCGGAGACACATGCTGAAGCCCGCCGCACACGGCCATACGAGGGCCGACGAGCGCTGGAAAGGAATCTGGGCACATGCCCATCCTGCTCTCATCCGGACTGGCCGCGCCATGCGTATGCGGCTTCCCTGCGGGCGTCGACGGCAAAACGCCTGGCCACAGCCTGGCTCAGTGGAGCTGCGCACACGCGCCCGCACGCTTCTGGCACACGCCGCGTCCCAGATCTCTCTCCCTCTCCCTGCATGATGCCGACGACAGGCGAGTATTCAGAGGTGGGCGAATGCAGACCTCGAGAGGCCCCTGAAGGAGTACGGGAGCCCCTTGGGAGACCCAAACAAATATCAAAACACTAAATCGCTCCTCCTCCTCCTCCTCCTCCTCCTCCTCCTCCGCCTCCTCCTCCTCCTCCTCCTCCTCCTCCTCCTCCTCCTCCTCCTCCTCCTCCTCCTCCTCCTCCTCCTCCTCCTCCTAGCCCTTTCGGCCCGAGGCGCGCGATCGCGCCACGGGCTAACACGCGGCGTACTTCGAGGGGGCGCAGCTGCGCGAAGCCAGCCATGGAGGCACGAAGAGGTGCTCGTCCTGGAGCGCGGGCGACGGAGGCTCGTGATCCAGGAGGTGGAGGAGGAGGAGGAGCAGGAGGAGGAGGAGGAGGAGTAGCAGGAGGAGGCAGAGGCGGAGGCGGAGGCGGAGGTGGCGGAGCCGAAGGAGGAGGGGGAGGAGGAGGAGGAGGAAGAGGATGATGATGATGATGATGATGATGATGATGATGATGATGATGATGATGATGATGATGATGATGATGATGATGATGATGATGATGATGATGATGATGATGATGATGATGACGATGACGATGATGATGATGATGATGATGATGATGATGATGATGATGATGATGATGATGATGAGGAGGAGGAGGAGGAGGAGGAGGAGGAGGAGGAGGAGGTCATCGACCAAGATGGCTGGGAAGCAGGCGCCGTCCACCCCACTGCACCGTCAGCGGGTCTCCAGGGGGAGCTGGCGGGTCGTCCAGCCGAGTTCTTCATCGGGGACCGTGCGGACGCCCGGGGCGGGTCAGCCTCTGGCCAAGAAGATGCCGAGCGAGGGGAAGAGGTTCTTCTCCAGGCAGATGGTGGACGTGGAGCCCGACTCGCTGGGCCAGATGACCGACTGGATCGCGAAGCCCTGGGCGGTGGAGGCACAGGCCAGCAAGCATACGGAGATGGGCAGCCAGGCCGACTCGGAGAAGGAGAGCACGAAGGTAATGGCGGTGGAGTTTCGGTCGCTTCAGGCCCAGACGCTGGAGCTCTGGGAACGTGGCCGCATGCTCGACGAGGAGAAGATGGTGCTACAGATGGAGCGCGTCAAGCGGGACGCGAATAAGGTGAAGGAGGTGAGCCAGGACGTGCAGGAGAAGGCGGCCCCCTTCACCCAGACGTCCGTGAGGGGCAAGTTGGACCTGCCCGTCGGGCTGAGGCGCTGGGAGCGCTACAGAAAGGCGGAGGCGGGCATCTTCGGGCAGGTCGACTTGAAGTTCGAGGCCCTGCAGCAGCAGCAGTCCAAGCGCTGATCGGCGTCTGCGGTGGTGGAGGCTGCTATCCTGAAGGCGAAGAAGGCGAAGAAGAACGTCAGCGAGGTGGTGGGCTCGGGATCTCTGGGGAGTTCGTCCGCCGCGCAGCTGGAAGCCAAGAAGGAGGAGGAGTACCTGGAGAGCAAGAGCCTGCCGTTGAAGGAGCGTGCTCGGTCGCAGTCGGTCTCGATCCCGTGGGTCCGCAAGGGTTGGGACGCCTGCGGCCGCCAGAGGCTCAGGCCCAGGCGCAGGCAGCGAAAAGCGAGCTCGCGGGCGCAGCTCCCGCAGGCTTGTGCGTCTCGGACACGCTGGTGCAGCAGGGCGTCGAGGCGTCGATCGAGGGCGTCATGGTCCGCAGTGCCAGGGGAGGATCGGTGCCTGATGAGCCCGATCTTTCGAGTACAGGTACTCGCGCTGGTGACGCGGGGCATGGCAGCGGCTCGGCGCTCGAGGCCTTCGGCTGTCTGAAGCACCTGCCCTTACGCCACCCCGTGGACGTCGTCTTCGAGGCCTGGAGGCGTGCTGCTGCTGGGGCCCCACATGGTTCGACTCAGGCATTAGGCGTTCGCGACAAAATGCAGGCGCAGGACAGCGCGGTGAAGGTCGTGAAGTTCTGCCCGGAGGAGCCCCAGGAGTCGGCGCCGGCGAAGATCCGTGAGCCGTCGACACAGTGCCCCTGCCAACTGAGGGAAGTGGAGGCGGCTGGCCACCAGGCCGCAGCCGCTGGCGAGCTCGTCAAGGGCAAGAGGGCAAGAGTGCAGGGGCCCCAGGACACACAAATAAATACACACACAAATAAAAATATTCCCCATATGTTCCCATCTTTTCTGGGTTTCTGTCGTCCCCCCCACTTCCCATATTTTCCCATATTTTCTGGGGAATCGACAATTAATTGTGTCTGTGTGTTTCTCTTCCTCCTGCAAGAGGGCGAGAGCCGCAAGAGCGCAAGGCGAGGCGGCGGAGGTGCGGAGAGCCGCCGCTCGCGGCGAGGCGGCAGCGCTGCAGGCGGAGCGGGCAGGGCGAGGAGGCCCTCGTGCGGGAGCGCCTCGCGGCCGGTGCCCGGGAGCAGCGGGAGCTCTGCCAGGAGACTGACTACCTATCGGAAGCCGGGCAAAGGCTGCTAAATCAGTGGCTGCTAAAATCGACCTCCGGGAAGTTGTCTTCGTCCTTCCGGGAAGAAGCCCGTTGACTGTTTCGCGTGCCGCGCCTCATTCCGGGAAGCTGTATCCTCCTTCCGGGAGGGCCGTTTTAGCAGCCACGGTTTTAGCAGCCCTCGCCCAGCTTCCGAACCTACCAGACCACCCCAACCCAACCCGAAGACCCGAATTTGACCCGAATTTCGGGTTGGGGGGGTACGGGTTCCAGGTGTTTTTTCAACGTTCCCCGACCCCCCCCACACTGGAAATCGAGGATAAATCTGGGCCTTCGGGTTAGGTTGGGGTGGTTTGGTGGGTGGTGAGAGACGGGCGCGCGCGAGCTGCTGACCAAGCTCCTGGGTGCCCAAACGCTGGGTTTTGGGTTTCATCGACGAGGTCGCTGAAGCCCTGGAGGAGGGCGGCGGCCGGGATGCGAGTGCGCTTGCCTGATTGGGGGCATGCGAGCAGCGCCTGTCGCACCTCTTTGTCCTCCTCCTCCTCCTCTGAAGCATTTTCGGGGCCGCCCCGCCCTCGGCCTCCTGCCGTGCACCACTGAACGTAGCTTGATGGTGCGAGCGCAGTGCCACAATACATGGGCATACGTCGACTTCACTCTTTCTGCAATTGAGAGCGTAACGGTATGGACGCTGGTCGTGTCCAGGCATCCCCTCTTTCTGCAACTGAGAGCGTTACACTCTGGACGCTGGTCGTGGCCAGGCAATCACTTTGTCGGATGCGGGCCGTGGTTCGGCATCAACCTTCGTTTTGAATTTCGCAGCGGGATGCTGCCTCTGCCTGGCGCGGGCAGTGGTGCGGCTAGCTTGCAGGCAGTTTCTTTGCAGCGGGATGCTGCTGCAAGGAAGTTTCCTGCGGGGGCCGAGGATCGGCCTACGCATGGGCCTCCGCTGACGGTGTCGCCGTAACGTGGCTTAGCACTGTTCGCCTTAGTGCGAGGGAACTTTCTTCATTAGCTGATCCACCTGATTCACCTCCCTCCTCCTCCTCCTCCTCCTCCTCCTCCTCCTCCTCCTCCTCCTGCTCCTCCTCCTCCTCCGCCGCCGCCGCCTCCTCCTCCGCCTCCGTTTCCGCCTCCGCCTCCGCCTTCTCCCCCCCCCCCTGGGAAGACGCCCCCCCCACTGGTTGGCAGCCTCCGTTGGAGAACTCTTCTATGTTGCCGAGCTCGATCACAATAGAGTACAGCACGCCCTCCCCTCGCGTCTGGCCACAGAGAGGGAGACCACGCGAACCCAAGCAGTAGCCACGCACAGGATACCAGCACAAGCCTGTTCTGTCGGTGGGCAGTGCGTAGCCGAAAGCAAGGGCGAGGACTGGCTGATTGCCGCGCTAATGGGTTGGCGAACCCATGTGTTCGTGACCAACGACGACGGTTAAGGGTGAGATGAAGAATAAAGGAGGAACAGCAGTGGGAGGGGTTGCCGGTTCCCCCCTCCAAACGTTCCAAGGGCGCCATTTTTCAGACATACATCTTATACAAGAGAAAGAGAGAGAGAGAGAGAGGGAGGAAAAGCATGCGTTCGCCACCGTGGTCCCAAACAGTGCGTACTTAAAAACTAAGTGATACAATAAATGCGGCGCAAGCAAATGTGATGCAAGCTATGTGGTGGAAGCTATGTGGTGCAATTGCTTTTGAGCAAACGAGTTGACACATCCCGCATTCTTGCAAACATCCCACCCACCCACCCGCAACTTGGTTTGCAAAACCCATAAGGTGGCGATTGCGATGCATGCTCGGCGTTGGCTGGTGCGTCTCTGCGGCCGCGCCAGCCCAAGCACGCGCGCGCAGCGGCCAGCTGGTTTGGAGCGACCGACGCGGCCGCGTTGGCGCTGATCGTTGGGCACACACCAGCGGGCACTTCATTGCGAGTCGGCGACATGGGCGGGCGCGGTATCATGGCAACGTCGACAACGGTAGACGTTGCGGGCGAGTGTCCAACGACTTCGACGACGACGACGACGATGACGACGACAACGACGACGACGAAGGAGGAAGGACGGCGACGCCGACGACGACAACGACGACGGAGGAGGGAAGACGACGACGACGACAACGACGACGACGACGACGACAACGACGACGACGACGACGACGACGACGACGACGACGGCGACGAAATAGGAGGGACGGCGACGAGACGCCGACGACGGACGACGACGACGACGAGGGAGGAGGAGGAAGGACGACCACGGCGACAACGACGACGGAAACGACCACGACGCCAAAGAGGACGACGACGACGAACACGAGGAAAGACAGAGGACGACGTAGGCGACGACGACGACGACGACGCGGGAGGAGGGAGGACGGCGACGACGACGACGACGACGACGCAAGAGCGCGCGGGCACGCTTTTGTTGAAAACCCGTGTTGCGAAACCTTGTGTTTTTGTAGATTTTTGGGACACACGATTTTGAAATCCTTCCGAAATCGATGGGTGTTGAAGGATTTCGGCATACGCGCGCGACGACGCGCGCGTCTGCATTTCGTCCCATTTGTTGCAGAGGATTTTCGCGACGGCACACGCGCAAGGGCGTTCGATAGATTTCGACATGCGCGCGCGAAGCCCGTTTGGTAGCATGTTGTGAAAATATTGGAAGAAAAACCTATGGTTTTCTTAAGATTTCGCAAGAGTTCGCGCGTAAGCTTTTTTAGCAAATCAGTGTTGCGAAACTTTGTGTTTGTGTATGTGTTTTGGAAACTCGATTGCGAAATCCTTCCGGCACCGAAGGTTTTTGAAGGATTTCGGCATGCGCGCGCGACGACGCGCGCGTGTGCACTTCGTCCCATGTTCTGCAAGGGATTCGTGGAAACGTGCTATGTTAGAACAAAAATGTCCCCGCGTATCGTTTTTTACAAGGGAACCTCAGGGGGACCGATCCCGGCCCCTCTGGGATAGTGTAAATTCATATTTAGGATGGACATGTGGTCAGAATCATACATGATTTACATACCCGAAAGGGGGGCGGATAACGCCAGGGGGGGGAGAGTCTATTTTAGAAAGGAGAAATAATTTCTCTTCGCAGTGAGTTGTCCACTCCACTGCTCGCGCAAACATCCCACCAACCCACCCGCAACTTGGTTTGCAAAACCTCTTAAGACCGTGACGGTGGGTACCAAATGGCCCTTGGCAACGACACCGACGCCGACGACGACAGCGACAACGACGACGACGCCGCCGACAACAACTACGACGACGACGACGACGACGGCGACGACGACGACGACGACGACGACACCGACGACGACGACGACGACGCCGACGCCGACAACGACGACGACGATGACGACGACGACGACGACGACGACGACGACGACGACGCCGACGACGACGACTTCGACGACAACGCCGACGACGACGACGACGACGACGAAGACGACGACGACGACGACGACGACGACGACGTCGCCAAGGAAGACGACGACGACGACGACGACGAGGGAGGAGGAAGGTCGACGACGGCGGCAACGACGACAACGACGAGAGGGACAACGACGAAACGCCGACGAAGACGACGAGGGAGGAAGGACGACCACGGCGACAACGACGACGGAAACGAAGACGACGCCATGACGACGACGACGACGACGAGGAAAGACAGAGGACCACGACGGCGACGACGACGACGACGACGAGGGAGGAGGGAGGACGGCGACGACGACGACGACGACGACGACGACGACAACGCAAGAGCGCGCGCGCATGCTTTTGTTGAAAGCCCGTGTTGCGAAACCCTTTGTTTGCTGCATATTGTTTGGACACTCGATTTTAAAATCCGTCCGAAACCGGAAGTTTTTGAACTTCGGCACGCGCGCGCGTCGACGCGAACGTGCGCAATTCGTCTCATTTGTTGCAGACGATTCTCGCGACGGCACGCGCGCAAGGGCGTTCGAAAGATTTCGACATGCGCGCGCGCGCGAAGCCCGCTTGGTAGAAAAACCCATGTTATATATCGCAAGAGCGCGCGCGCAAGTTTGTTTAGCGAACCAGTGTTGCGAAACCCTGTGTTTTTGGTATTGTTTTTGAGACTCGATTTTGAAATCCTTCCGAAATCGAAGGTTCTTGAACGATTTCGGCCTGCGCACGCGACGACGCGCGCGCGTGCACTTCGTCATATTTGGCGCAAGGGGCTCTTGGAAACTTAAGATTTCTGATAAAGGAGAATGCGCGCATATTTGTTTTGCAGAGTATTGCGGGGGGGGGCGATACCGGCTTGGCTGGGATAGTACGAGTTCACACTTAGGATGGACGACGGGGCAGAATCAGATGTGTAAATTGCAACACGAAAAGGTGACCCGTTAATCCGGGGGTGGGGGGGTAGAGCGCTTAGGAAGGAGAATTCACTTGCCGAAGTCGAAATTATCAACTCCACTGCTCGCACAGTTGTCCCACCCACCCACCCGCGACCGGGTGCGCAAAACCCAAGCGGGAGCGATTGCGGTGAGTGCCGGGCATTGGCTGGTGCATTTCTGCGGTCGCGCTGGCCCGCGCATGCTCGCGCGCGCAGCGGCCAGCTAGTTTGGCGCGACCGACGCAAACGCGGTGGCGCTGACCGCCCGGCACATCCCAGCGGGCACTTCAGTGCGAGTCGGCGACTTGGGCAGGCGCGGTATCGTGGCAACGTCGACAACGGTAGACACGATGATGATAGTAGCGATGCTGGTGGCGATGCTGACAGCGACGACGGGGCAGCCAGTGACGGCGCCGTTGCTGATCACGCCGACGACGATGACGGCGTCTTCGCGTCGGCGATGAAGGTTCTGGAAGGAATTCGAAATGCGCGCGCGGCAGACGCGCGAGAGTGGCTCGCATGGTATCATTCGACACGGACCGTGCCACCCCAGCACGCGCGCAAGGGCAGTCGAACGCTTTCCACATGAGCGCGCTAAGCCCGTTTGGTAGCATGTCATGAAATTATTGAAGACCTTATGGCTTTCTGTAGAATTCACAAGGGCGCGCGCGCACGCTTTTGTTGGAAATCCGCGCTGCGAGACCCTGTGCTTTGTTTCATGTTCTTTGACACTCGATTCCAAGATCCTTCCGAAACCGGAGGTTTTTGGGCATGCGCGCGCGACGACGCGCGCACGCACTTCGTCCTATCTGTTGCAAGGGATCATTGAACACTTATGCTTTTAGATAAACGAGCGCGCGCACATAGAATTCGTTTGCAGAGGATGGCGGGGGGGGGCGATGCCAGCCTGGCTGGGATAGTATGGATTCACAGGTAAGATGGACATTGGGTCAGAATCATACTAAATTGCATCACGAAGAGGTGGGTCGATAAGTCCGGAGGGGTAGAACCTATCTCTCTTTGTTGGAAAAGGGAATGTACGTGGTGCAATATAGGCCGTGTGAGCTCTACGTGTGCAATGTAGGCAGTGCTATCTATGCGTTGTGATATATGTGGTGTGGGCTACGTGGCGCCGTAGTGCAATCTGCGCGGCGCAGTATACGCGGTGCAAACAATGCGGTGCGAACTCGGTTAAAGCTAGCTACGCGGCGTAAACTATGGGGCGCGACCTACGCGGTGCAATTTGTTCTGTTTCAAACTGACCACGCACCCAACCTCAATGAGAGAGCGCACGGCATGTAGGATCTCGCGGGAGCCCACCCAAGAGCCTCTACGTAGACCTGCGGTAGCAGCGGCGATCCGCCACCTCCCATCTCCACATGAAGATTACTACCGCCATAAATGTCGCACGATGCGGGGCCCCTTTAACCAGGCGGGCTCGCACCTGCAGCAGAGGCCCGGGCCGCGAACGACGCGCTGCCCGAGGCGCCCCGCCTGCTCCCCAGAAAGGATCACCTCACCTCCTACCCAGCTTGACCCTGAGCCTCGCACGGAGGGCAGGCCCCCCCTGCTCGCGGGCATGGGCCTGCACCTCCGCCAGCCTGGCCTGCTGCGCCCCAATGTGAGTATCCATGCACCTGCGCTGCTTGGAGTTGCCCTGCAACAACAGCCACCACATGGCGATCCGCTCGGCAACGCCGCTCTCGCCTGCGGTCGGTCCACCCACGACCGCGCAGCCACAGCGACCACAGCGCCAGTCAGTACCGCGCTCCACGCAGCCGCTGCACCTCCCGATCTCGCCAGGGCACTCCCCGCACTACAACGCACGGGAGCTCCGCGGGCAACGCGCGGCGCAGATGCCGACCCCAGCCCAGCATGCGCGGCACCGCCAGCGGGAG